GACCAAGGTTCCCTTCTGTTAGATGCAAATAGTTCCAATACTCTGATGTCTTTCCTCTTGTTGTGGATGGAGATGGCACTGTTACCGGGGCCTCAAGAGTATCTGGATGTGCCAGATCCCACTTCGGAACTCAGATCCGGTGAGTAAACCCCTGGTGTCAGAAGTTTCTGAGTAGGGCCACTGAACCAGAACTGGAAACAGCCCCTGGCCTATCTGGGCTGGTGGATGGAGGCAGAACTGTTACCGGGGCCTTGGCAGTGTCTGAGTGTGTTGGATCCCGCTGCCAATTTTGGGTCCAGTGAGCAGATCCCTGACTTCTGATGTCTCTGAACAGGGCTGCAGAAATGGTCTGAGTTTTCTATTCCATTCCCTTAATCTAATATTTATTGAACGTGGTTATATGGCTTCCTTCTACTTCATTTTAGCTAAGTTGTTTCCCTTTTAAATTACTGTAGTTTCTTGCATATGAGTCCTATCCATACTGCATTAAGTTTCTATGTATTTTCTTTGGGGGGGGGAGATTGAATAAAGTTCAGGACTGGGGTTGTAGTTCAGTGGTAAAGAGCTTGCCTCCTGGGCATGGGAGGTTTAATCCTCAACTCCACAGAAAGAAGGGACGGAAAAAAAGTAATAGAAGATTTAAATTGTAACTCCAGTGTGTTCACTTTTCCTTAAAGACAGGATCTCACTATTTAGCCCTGGCTGTCCTGAAGTTCACTTTGTAGACCAGGCTGGCCTCAAACTCACAGAGAGTCACCTGCCTCTGTCTACAGAGTGCTAAGATTAAAGATATATGACACCATACCCAGGACAGTATGTTTACTTTTACTCCATAGATTATAGAAAGCAATAACTTTCTTGCTGATTTCACTTACTAGTTGTAGGAATATTCCTTGGGATCTTCTGTGTAAACCATATCCTATAATCTGCAGAAGGGGGAGCTTTCATGCTTGCTTTCTGATCTGTGTGAGTTCCTGTACATTCCTCCAATCAATTCTATGTTGTAACTAGAATGGATATCTTTTTTTATGTTCTTCTACGTTTTACCATTAAGCATGAAATTATCTGCTTAATGGTAGGTTCTGGGGTCCTGGAGATTTCTTTATAGGATAGTGTTTAATCCAAACTAAATTTTCTTAACAGATAAATTACTATTCAAGTAATTTGTTTATACTGTGTTAATTTGCACTTTTGAAAGAATAGCTCCATCGTTTTCAAGACATCTGATTGTGTACAGAATAGTTTATATTGTCCTTTTATTGTTTATTTTGTGTCTACAAAGGCTATAGTAATATACTCTGGTTTATTTCTGATATTAATAACTTGTGCCATTTCCCTTACTTTGCTAGTCTTTCTAAATGTCAGTGTCACTGTTCAGTTCAATGAACCTACTGTCATAAACATTAACAAGTTTTCTTTTAAAAAGCATTTTTGGCCAAGCAGTGGTGACACATAACGTTAATCCCAGTACTTGGGAGGCAAAGGCAGGTGGAGCTCTGTAAGTTCGAGGCCAGCTTGGTCTACAGACTGAGTTCCAGGACAGCCAGGGCTGTTACACAGAGAAACCCTGTCTCAAAAAAAAAAAACAAAAACAAAATATTAATCACTTGATAATTTCATACATGTATATGGTATATTTTGATCACATTAATCCCAATACTCCTATAACTTCTCTCAGATCTACTCCTTCCCAATTTCATGTCTTTTACCTTTTAATTAAACATAGATTCTTTTCTCTAAATATAATCTAAATACAGTTTACAGTTCCCCTTCCCTCTACTCCTCCCAGATCCTCCCATTTTTTCTCCCATACTGATCCATTCCTTTTCTATCTCTCGTGTCCTCTTTAAAAAAAATAAGTCACTGAGTCCAGATTGTAGTAACCATATCGTCATGATTTAAAGCCATCACCCGGAAGCTGTCAACATGCCAGTGGCAGCACCTTAAAGAAAACTCCTTTCTTTACCTCAGAAGCTGTTAATAGCTCTTCACCTAAGGGTAGAGGTTTATGAGCCACTTATCCTCCATGTTGAAATGTTGATTGGCTTGAAATTGTGAAGCCAACCACATCTGCTATGACTTTCTGGGAACAACAGTCATATCATGCCCAGAAGACATTGTTTTATTCTGGTCCTCCAAAACCTCTAATTCTTAAAATTGTTCAGCTCCTTCTTCTGAAATACTCCCTGAGCCTTGAAGAGAAGGGTGTAATATAGATGTCTTATTTGTTGTATACACACCATCACCCTTATCCTCTGCACTTTGACTATTTGTGAGTTTCTACATTAACTGCCCTCCACTGTGCAAAGACACTTCTCTAATGAGATCTGGGAATGATACCAATCTGTGGGTATGAAGACACAAATTGGATAGACCCAAACATGACTGGCAAAGAAAGAAAAAGTCAATGAAATGATTCCTAATGATATTCTGCTATACTCATAGATTGGTACCTATACCGTCATCAGAGAGGCTTCATCCAGCAACTGAAGAGAGCAGAAGCAGTGATCCATAGCCAAACATTAGGCTGAGCTTGGGAAATCCTGTGGAAGAGAGGGAGGAAGGATTGTAGAAGCCAGAGACATCAAGGACATCACTGGAAGGCTCATAGAATCAACTGTCCTGGGCGCATAGGAGCTCACAGAGACTGAACTGACAGCCAGGGAGCCTGCATTGGACTGACCTAGGCATTCTGCATATGTGTTACAGTTGTGTAACTTGGTTTACTTTTAAGGCTCCTAACAGTGAGGGCAGGGGCTGTCTGTGACTCTGTTGACTTTTGAGAAACATTCCTCTTATCAGGTTGCCTAGTCCAGCCTTAATAAGAAAGGAAGTGCTTAGTCTCACTGCAACTTGTTATGCCATGGCTGGTTGATATCCATGGGAAGCCCACTCATATCTGAAGAGGAACAGAGGAGGGGGAGGGGATGGGGGTAGGAGAGGAGGAGGGAGGAACTGAAAGGAGAGGAGGGAGGGGAAACTTTGGTTGAGATAAACAATAAAAACTAACATAAAGAAATATGTTTAGAGGACAGTTTGATACTATGTCCATTAATAAAAACAATAGTAGCAGGTTTACCTCCCCCACAAGGGCCCTGTGTACTCCCCACCGGTGGGTTCTTGACCAGATTTACAGAACTAGGAATGCATTTTCTCTTGTAGGGCAGGCCTTGAATCCAATCAGAGAATGACTGAGTATTCCCGCAACATTTGTGCCACTATTTCACTGATGAGAGTATCTTGCCACACTGATCAATATTGTAACTAACAGCTGGGTAAAACTGTTGATGGCTTTTTGTTCTCACCAACCAACATAATACCTTCTGGTACTACGAAAGCTAGATATCCAGCAAGAAGCTTCCTAGTCAGTACTGACTTTATTTCTCCATGTTCTGTGATCAAATTATGGGGTGTCTTCAGCAATAAGGTCTTACCATCAAGTTCTGATAGGCAACCAAGAGAATGGCAATTTTCCTGCATTATTTTGAGGGTATCTGGCACACCTCTGACCAACAACTTCAGTGAAGTGTATTTTCAAGATGTTTTATATTTGTGCTACAGAAAATGCAGAATAAAAATTCAAGCTATATACTGAAATAAAATATTTGTCAACCACTTATCTGACAAAGAATTAATACACAGTATTTAAAGAACTCTCAAAACACTATCTTGAGTGTTCAGTTAAATACTTCAATTAGCAAAGAAGAGACATTTCACTGAAGAGGCTATATGAATAGCAAATAAACATGTGGAACGATGTTTAACATCACTAGTCATTAGGAAAACTAAAAAGAGCTCCATAAATTTCAATGACTGAGTGCTTGCTTAGCATGAATGTAACCCAGGTTCCATACTCAGCGTAGCAATATAATTCATATATACTGGAACGACCACTCATACATTGATAAGAAGAATATAAAATTAAAATTTATGTCTACACAAAAAGTTATGTGTGACTTTTCATGGGAGATTTATATGTAATAGCCAAAAACTGGGCACAGAGTATATCCATGTTTTTCATATATATTCTTGCTAAGTAGCCCTGACTGGCCTGGTACTCCTTGTTTGGTACTCCTTGTTTATCCCAAGTTAACAATAAATTCACAGCAATCTTTATGTCTCAACTTCCCAAGTGCCAAAATTGTAGGCATGTGCCACTACACCTGGACTACTAGTTTTTATATTGTGCTGTAACTTTTTAAGGCATAAGTCACAAGAAACAAAGTGAAGAATAGACAAAATCTGTTACTGAAATTTGAGAATTTCTGTGACTCTACATGTGTTTCAACATAAAAAAATACTAGAGCTAGCCATGGTTTCTCACACGTGTAATCCTAGCACTGAGAGGACTAAGGCAAGAGGATTGCTTTTAGTTTAATGGAGCACAGGCTACATTGTGAGCTCCTGGCCAGCCAGGGTCATAGGATGAAAGTCTTTCTTTAAGACAACAACAAAGGCAACAAAAATTATATCTAATGATATCGCTCAGTAGTACCATATTTGGCTCTCTGGGTTTGGTCCCAAATATTGATTTAAAAACATAGCCATCTTTAATTGGGTCTAAATCTAATAAAAACAAAAATGAAGTCTACTATATGCAGGTATTTTGAAGCCAAACATACACAGAGGGCATAGTTTCACCTTTGAAAGCAAAATTTGAAGTGGATTATTAGCTGTAGTTACATAGCTGTAAGCCTAATTTCATTGAAGAAACATCAATACATTTTTCCTGTTTAATGAATTGGTGAATTATTTTCCTTAGAAATGAAAATAAAAACAGGCACAAAAGCAATGTTTTATAGCCTGCATGTCATTTGAAAGTCTAAATATTTAAATAAATACCCTCTTCTGCTAAAAACAACTTTTTAGTTTTGCTTTGTGCCTTAAAAGTTTTATTGTTTCATGTGCTTATGTGTCTTTTCTAATCCTATTTTATGCTTCATTTGTTTATTATTCTAATGTCTAGGTTGTCTAAAATTGCTTATATTTCTCTTACAAAGACTTGGATTGGGAATCGAAGAAGAAAATACCGTTTAATGGGAATTGAAGTTCCACCTCCAAGAGGAGGCCCTGCTGATTTCTCTGAGCAGCCTGAATCTGGTTCTTCTTTGTCTGCACTCACACCAGGAGAGGAAGCTGGGACTGAAGTAGGGGAGGATAATGACAGAAATGATGAAGTGTCCATCTGTTTGTCCGAAGCAAGCTCTCAAGGTACTTTACTGCACCTCCTAATAACAAGCCTTTGGAATTTTGATGTATTTTTACTTGCTTTTCAGTGTACCACACTTTAAGTCTAGAGTGTTCAAAACATATGACTAAGCATTTGAAAAGAAACAGATTTGTTTTTAATGCCTCTATGTAAAAAGTCTTCAATATCAAGTCATCACAGAGAACATTCATTTATCACAGTAGTGATGCCATACTTTTAAAAAATGTTATCTATTACAACAGTCCTTATACTAGAATCAGGTAAAAGATTATATTTGGAATTCTAGTCAGTTAGGTGAGAGTTTACAAATATCTCAACAAGAGAGTATGGTATATTATAATGAACAGTAGGCTTTTGATCTGAGATACTAGTTGCCACTCAGTGCTTTTCCACTAGCGATTTGTACAGTTTGAGGCAAAGCATTTAACTGAGTTCATTAAACTCCCTTCTTCACCTGTTATAGGAAGTTAAACAGGCTCATCTTTTTAATACCTCTCAATGCATCCCTGAATGAGACTGTGTGCTAAAGCATAGATTAATGCCATTTACCCAAGAAGAATATTTTATTCGACTTCAAGCACAGAAATAAATAGTTGTGGTATAATTTTATTATAGTTTTTGTAAATATTTACTTTACATATCATAAAAATATTCTTTATAAATACACAATCCAGTTATGTTCAGTAAAGATTTTGGATCTGTACCACTAAAAATTTTATTTTAGATCTTTTTTATCACCCAAGGCAACTTCTCATGTTTAGCCAGTGTCCCTTCTGTCCTCAGCTCTAGGCACACTAATCTGCTTTCTATCTGTGTGTGTCTTTTCCATGTACTTTATCTGAATCTGATAATATAATCTATAGTACTTTTGTATCTGTGCTTCAGAAATTACGAACCTCTCATTTGCACATTGCTTGTTTCTTTTTTTTCATTGATATCAGTTCAGTATATTGGAAAATTATTTTCTGGTTTATCTATCTATTTTGTGTATGTATATGTGTATGATGTTTGTAGGTGTGATTGAATGTGTGTAGCCACACAACTCAAGTATCTCTTTTCTGGTTCTAGCCCACTTGTTCTGAGAATTCTCTGTCTCCATCACATCCATTGGGATGGAGTTACCCGTGGGTGACTATACCTACTCTGGTCCTTATGGTTATTTGGCAAGTGCTTTAGTCACTGAGCCATCTCAACAACTCCTTGGTTTTTTATTTGCCTCTTAACATTTTATGATTACAAAAAAAGAAAGGAGAAGAGAAAGAGAGAGAGAGAGAGAGAGAGAGAGAGAGAGAGAGAGAGAGAGTTAAACAGAGAAACTGGCCTTGAATTCACTGTGCTGCAAAGACTGGTCTTGTATTACTGCCCCCCCCAACCTTTACCTCCCAGGAGCTTGGATTATAAGTGTGTACTTTGTTGCCTATCTATACTAGTCATCTTCAAGAGTGGCATTATTTGTGCAACATAAAATTTTATGTTAGGATAATTACAAAATCATTTTTAGTAATTAGGTCAATAATAAATTTGGCAACAGCCATAATGTTTGTGCTATTACTGAGTCTTTCTGTGAGATCTAGAATGTTTGCCACTCACTTAGGATACCTCAGAAGCTCCAATTGGAGAGGATTTCTGGACCACTAGAAAATACTATAACCCCAGGTCCAAGAATCAGGTAAACAACTACATTTTTGGGTTAGGAGAATAAACAAAGTATTAATGGAAAAGGTTTATCATAGTGACATTATAGAAGAAAACAAGATATATTACTGAAGTGATGAAGTTTTAATTTGATAATTTTGAATCAGGGTTTCTCATTACTCCAGATCCTCCTATCACTACCTTCTGTTTCTGATTTTTTGTGGTAAAATTTTGGGGTATAATTTTTACATTGTCAGACATAGCAGTATTTTCCTTTGTTGTTTCTGCCTTTGTAGTCCTAATTATAGTATTTTCTTGCTCTACACTTATGAAAATAAGCTCATATATTTGCTTCTGGCATCCTTATGGCCTTAGTTTAGCAATCTTATATTAATTTCACTGAGAATTTACTTTGCCTTAAGATGTGTGAGGAAGATGCCTAATTTTACTTTTCCAAATAGTTAAGCGACAGTTCTACACTATTGGTTGCATAATTCATTGTCTGTCCAGTTAATTACAGTACAGCTTTCAAAAACAAATTATGTATTTATATGTATGCATATTCAGGTACACATACAAATCCTCATGAGAAAATTCTGAGCTTTGTATTATGTTACATTAATCTGTTTTTAACTGTGGATTTATAAAATATCTTACTATCTGGTAAAGCTTTTATTTTAGCTCTAGATGAACTGTAAAATTCTTTAGCTATATCTTCTCACAATTTCTTCCTCAAAATGTATTCAAAGTTTTTACTACCATCACACTAAATAGACAGACTGTCATTAGGAAGATTAATTCAGTTTGCAGTTCTGAATTTTAGAAAATAGCAGCACATACACAGAAAACTGTTGGGTAATATGGGTCTGGAATGCAAAAGAAAAAGAAAGCGTTGTCAGGAGAAGACACAGGAGTCTGCCAAACTGAGGCAATTAGCACCCAACCACAGAATTGGAGTTTTAATTGAGAAAATTAAAATCCAAAACACAAAACAAGACAATGGAGAAAGATCATGTGTTGAGAAATATTTACATTTTCAGGCCCCAGGAAAAAAAAATTAGCCCCTGAAAGAACATTCGGAACAACAGAACTGGATAGCATGTCATTGCTAAATCCAAGGAAAGAAAAAGATTTCAGAAATAAGAGGGGTCATTATCTCAATGATCTCATAGAAACTGAGTAGAAAGGAGAGGCCATTGAATCAGTCTTTAAGAGGTTCTTTGCAAAAGCAATTAATTGCATGCCCAGGGGGCAGACAGGCAAATTGTAATGGGTAGAATAATGAAAGGGATAGAAAAGCTGTCACTGTTGAGAAGACAATGAATTTTAAGTCCAGGTGTTTGAAAGATTATCAAACATGAATATTCTCTCTTTCCCTCTTTCTTTTTCTTCTCCCCTTTCCCTCCTTCTATTCCTTCCCTCCTCCCTCTTTCTCACCTCAGATTGCAAATGACAGTAGGAAAACTGATGCAGGCTTAAAAATCATCAAGAAAAAATATTTTATGATTTTTAAGGTCATTTGTTCTCATATAAGCTGTCCTATAAATATGTGTGTCTTCTGTTAGTCTTTCCAAAATTACATGTGCCTGGAGATTCTTGGGTAATTCGCAATAATTATATGATGGGGTGTTTAGAGCCTAATGCCCAACAGCTATTTGAAGTGACTAGGGAAGAAGGGGTTTGTATGTTTCTCTGAAAGGACAGGATTGATATGAGAAAATATTCTGATGAGGCAAAGTGCAGAGTTTCATTCCCAACAGTCACTTCCCCTCCTAAAACAGAATTTTAGAAAATAAGCACTTAATGGGAAAAAAGTGAATGTTAATTTTAAAGTCTGCATTAATGGTCTATATTTAATAAACCACTACTTCTGCACTAGCATCCTTTGTCTTATAATAGTGTCTTATCTAGATAGCTGGCATAGTAATCAAGACCTAATGAGAAAAAGAAGAGAACGAATTTAATGTATGAATCAAAAAACAAGGGGTGAGACGTAAGTAGCTTCCTAGAATTTCTCCAGGTGGCTTATTTTTCACAACTGCACAGTAACCTTTTCATCCTCCTCAGAAATTGCAGCAGAAAAGCATTTTCAAAGACTAGAAGGAGCCCCTTTGGTGCTGTTTACTACTAGATCTTTACAATTTCTTCATTTCACTGATGGAGAATATTAATTTGACTGAGGATACTATGTGATCTTTTTGTAAGAATTAATTGTATCATCTGGCTGAGATTAATACCCTATCTCCAAAATACACTGACCTATTTTCTCTTCCAGTTTGGGAAAATGTAGCCCCAGATTGTTTACACTGAGATTTCCATTGATTTTCTCTTAGAGATTAAAGATATTTCAAAAACCTAACAACTAGACTTACGAGTCCTTATACCCAACTGTTAATTTAACTGGATTAGAGTATTTTAAATGTCTAAAGGGAAACATTTTTAAATTTGTGCTTGCATATTACATGTTAAAAATGAACACATGAAATCTACATACAATTTTCTTTCAGTGTCTTTGTGAAGGAAAATATATTCCTTCAAATTGTGAAGAGGCTGGCTTTGCCGGCTAACGAAGTGTTCGTGATCCCTTAACAGTTTCAGATGCAATTCTTTGCTTCTGAACAAGCACAAAGGTCCCTGACACAGACCTTCTGACTCACCTCAGTTCTGCCTTGCACTTGACCTTACTCTTCCCCATTTCTTGTCTGTTTTCCTCAGAGGGAATGAAGATAGGTAAGGTTGGATTGATTTGTGAAGAAAATAAAGCTACATGGCTTTACTCCTTGTGTAACTTGGAAACTTCAGCAAAAATAATACTTGACTAACTCAACTCCCTAATTTTAAGTTTGTTTTCTACCAAAATCTATTTATGATTGAGAAAATTTAAAGATGTTTCACTATCCTGAGAGGCAAATGGTTTAAAGTATAGGAAAAATTAATATTTACAACATTACATCTATAGCAGTGCCTCTTTTTCAGCTGAATAGTAATCTGTGGAGGGCGAGGGGTGTGTGCATCAAAGAGTGCCCTCTAGAGTGCCCTCTAGAGTTTTACTGATTAGTTCTACTTTTTTATTTTTCAGTTAGCAAAGATGGTTTTTTGAGGAATTACCAAGACACATTGACAGTGTTTAGAACTTAAGCTTTTGCTAATGCTGCAAGTATCTATATGCAGAAGAAAGCATTCCCTATCACTTCACACCTTTTTATTTCAGAAGCCTCAAAATAACTTATTTACATTTTCTAAAATAATCAAACCATGCATAAATAAGCTGTCAGTGAACCAGAACTGAGTGTGAAATTATGAGTGAATCTGAAGAGGAGTGTACAGCAATCCTATAAGGAATAGTGCCAGTAATGATCTTGTTGATGAGCAATATAACCCCTCTTCTGAGACCACTGTTCCTAATATCAGGTCTGCAGCTAAAGCTAATGAAAATTTTCCCTCTTTCCTTTTCATTGCATTACTGATTATGTAGGACTTGAAATGTCTGTGACTTGAAATGTCTAAATAATGACTAGGTAAACTTTTCTTTATCTAGGAATCATTGTTTTCATAAAATTTTAAATTGACTTTTCTTACATTTCACAAATAAATGAGATCGTACAATTTTTTTCTTTCTGTTTGGCTTATTTCACTTAGATAGCATCCCCTGGGTTCATCCGTGTTGCAGCAAATAGCAGGGCAAGGAAGGTCAAATATATCAACTATAATACAACAGTGGATTTTTGATTGGGGAGGGGAGAATGTGGAGATATAGCTCAGAGGGTACAATCTTGCAGTGTGTGTGATGAATAAGGGGAAAGATCTAATGAAGAGCATGAAGACCATAGTTAATGATAGTGTATTGTGTATTCAGGATTTTCAATAAGTGATGATAGCAGCTGTCGCCTGGGGGATGGGAAACTGAGATGATAAATATGTTAATTTGTTTCATTATAGCAATCTTTTTGCTATATAAATGTATATTGTGTTATATACCACAAGTACATACAATAAAATTTAATTTAAACTATATGGTAGAGATAAGAAAGTTAAATTAAATTTATACAGAACATTGCATTAAAATTCTGCTGAAGTTTTCTTGAATTCTCATAAGTGAATTTCTCCTAATTCTCCTTGTTTGTACATGGGAATGAATGGTGTAGGAAAGTCTTAGGAGGACTGGTAAATATTTTTGTTCTGCTTTCTAAGTTGAATTAAAATGTTATTTTCCAAGGATCTGAGAAATTTTACTAGTACTTATCCAAATAATCTCCATGAAATTACTGTGAAGAAATAGAGACACAGAAATAAACATTGCTACTTTATTTTTAAGGCATCTGGGTGAGGGTAATATAAAATAAAGGAGTTAAGGGGTAATGTATGCAGAAACAACCAGTGTCTGGAAGCAGGCACTTGCCATAGCTCATAGCAAAGAGCTTTTAATTCAAGTAGTTTCTCTGAATTAATTCATCTCTATTTTATTATTTTAAAATATTGAATTTGATCAGGAAAAATGCATGTCCATTGTAGGACATATTTGGAAGCACTATGGAAATGAAAATAACCTTACTCATTAGAGAATAACACTCTGTAAACAAGAGGAAGGGCATATTTTTGCAAGTATTTTCTCTTTATATATGTACAAATATATACAAGAGTGAGCATGGGCCAGTCTGGTCTACAGAGTGAGTGCCAGGATAGGCTCCAAAGCTACATCGAGAAACCCTGTCTCAAAAAAACAAAGAAAGAGTGAACATGTGTATACAAGTATTGAAATAATCGTGCATTTTTATAAAATTGGATATCTGCATTTATAATTTTGTACCATTTATTGAAAGTTTTTGTTTTTGTCTTATTACAATGAACAAAGCCAAGTGTGGTGGAAAGGGCCTGTAAATCTACAACTTAGGATGCAGAGGCAGGAAAATTATTGAAACTTTAAGGTTAATATGGTCTATATAGTGAGTTCTTTGCCAGCCAGGGCTATGT